ATGGTACAGCAGAACATACTTATCAGAAAATGGAACAGTGCTTAGATGTTTCATTACTGAGCATCAGGATAATTGGGTTGGTCTGATTCCTAGAGCTGAATTTGCACATACCAACATTGTTTGTGATTCTACGTAAAGTAGTCCTTTTTATTTGAATTATGGTTTTCATTCTACAGTTATCCCACCTGCATTTCCTTCCCAGGGCATACAACATACTGATGTTCATGCTCCTTGTCTTTTTAAATTGTTTCATTCTCATTTCCTTTCTCGCTCGGTGGGCGGTTCTTGAAGAGGGGTCCTGTCAGGGAACCTGTCCTTTGCTGCTAGGCTGGGGCACAGCCCGGGGACCTCTTCCATTTGGAGGGTGACTGTCCTCAAGGTCCTCCCTCTCTCATCTGCGTCCTCAACGCTGGCCGCTGTAGCTCCTTTTTATGACACACTTCTTGTGAGCCGGAGTCGTAACGTCGATGATGTCATTGCCCGCCGAAACTTTAGAATTCAAACATTTTGAGGGCGTGGCTACATAATTAAAGAGCCACAATATAAAATGGGCTTATAGGGCTTAGATCATTGCTCTGTTGTGGTTCAAAGTTACTTTGTTCCCTATAGCCCATTGTATTGTTGGCTATATTCTGGTTTTGACTTTGGCTTTGTTTAAACTATTCTCCTTTCTCCTTCCCTGTGACTCAGTTTGTGTATACTCGCTTATTCTGATTTCTGGCTTCCTTGATCTCGGCTTGCCCATGACTACTCTCTGTCCTTGCAACATTAGCCCGGTCACGTTAAGGTCTGGTACACGTTACCTACTTTATTTGTTTACACTGCGTGTTGGGTCTCTGGGTATTTCCCAACACTCACCCAATCTGAACTGTCATTTTATTCCTAATAACTAAATATAAGTAAACTTACCTCTCCCATTTCCATGACTTGGATATGATACGACTTGCGTACATGCTTGGTGTATTAAAAACATTCTATCCTAACACAAGAAGTCTCATAAGGAGAAATGGTAATGCTAGCCAATGTAACCAAATTTGCTTATTTGCACCGTACTCAGATTATAACTCCTATCAAGGTAAAGTATGGGCACGTACTAGATTTTAAGAAGATTGGGTCCTTGAGATCATAGACAAGAGCATGACATTGTCAAAAATGGGTGTGGTTAGTTAATACAACAATAATGTCAACCAATCACACACAATATTGCATGTAAGATAATCCTTCCTAACCACATCCAATTTACCATATAAGGTGTGAAATAGATGATGTGTCACATGACCATGATAATAGCAAGTTATGTGTGTGAGCCACAGGGGCATTCGTATAGAAATGACTGCGTGAGCAATGTGTGCAAGCATTAAGAGATAGCTGCCTTAAAGAGACACTATGGTGTGGTCATCCAGACCACTTTATCTCATTGAAGTGGTCTGAGTACAGCGTCTCTGTCCTCTTAACCTTGCAATGTGAAAAACATGCGGTTTTAGAGAGACTTTAATGTTTATATTGCAAGGTTAAAAGTTCACCTCTAGTAGCTGTCAGTATAATTGATTTAATGCTTTCCTATGATAAAGTTGGCATTGCGTGCGTATTAGGTCCCCATTAGGTCCCTCTGTGACGTTGCATGAGGCGGAGAGGTAAACAGCCTGGCGCGGGAGCCTCGGCGCTAAAAAAAGGTAAGTAAAAAGGGGTTTTTAACTCTTTGTACGCTGAAGGAGGGAATCTCCCTCCGAGTATGTCTATTATTATTATTATTATTATTATTATTATTATTTATATAGCCCTTGTACCTGTCCTGAGGACCCTAGTTACAGGAATATATATTTTTATGTTAGAAGAATCCAGCATCTGAGTGAAATATGATGCAAAACTTATTTTAGTTCCTGAAATTTGTTTTTGAAAAACTTGCCATAAAATTATATATACAAAAAAAAAAATTATAAAAAAAGTAAAATGTTTTCCAAATGACTAAAACATGTTTTAGTAAAAATACATCACTCCCACTTTCAAACTGTCCTGCATTGTTTCATACAGTAAATGTGGTGTTACTGTGTATATTTGAGATAAATTCAGGATATAACCAAGCCCATAGCACAGCCTCAACTTATCCAGGTAGTAAGAGCCCTACGCAATTTACGTAGTGAGCTAGCGTAGCGAGCGTAGAAAGGAAGCGGCAGGCGTGCATGCGTTAGGCAAGCCTTTTTTTAACCTGTTTGCGCATGCGCCCTTGTCCGTTCGCGCGCTTTACGCCGCGGTGACGTCGGTCAGGTAGTGCCTGCGCACTGATACGGTGGGCGGAGCTCCGTGAACAGGAAAAGAAGAGCGGCAGCGTCCAGTGTGAGCCACATGCGGCTGGTGCGCCGCACAGTGAGTATCTCCAGGGCTGCTGCCAGGGGTTTTACAGGGTCCTGTTACAATGTATCATTTATATTGTCTCTATATCCGCCCGTGAGCCCAGGGGAGGAGGGGGGCGGGGGGTGACCTTCCAGGTGCTTTGAATGGCAGGAACAGGTGATGGTAGCAAAGTGCAATGTTGGTAAATGTGGCGCAGTCGCCATGGAAACCAATTGCAGGCTTCCTGCTGATTGCACACACTGTTAGCACAATGCTTCAGAATTGCTGTGTGAACATCTGGATCTGAGGGTCTGAAATTAAACTTTTCAAGGAGTATGATAACATGGAGGCCATGGCTGGTTATTCAACACCATGGGGGCTGTGAACAATTATCCTGACCCTCTGTGCCCCATACTCAGCTATTCACTTTTTACAGAATAACTCTGCACTGGCAGCTGTTGTTGGCTAGTGGGTTTCCACTTACAGCAGCAATGTGTCACTTGTAGGGTCTTTGCAATGTCTTTTTTTTTTTTTTTTTTTGAGACCCCCAAAGGTGACATGTCTGGTTGTGCCGCTTAAAAAGGGCAGAGTTGGTTAGGAAGTTACACTTGCCCAATGCTGTCCTAACCTTGGCTCCGTCATGGCTCTCCAACTCCATCTATCTGCCTGGAGCTGCGCTTTCCTTAGAAATGCCAACTCTGTTAGTAAAAGTACTTTTTCTTTAAGAAATGTTCTTTTGCTCAAAGCAGAAGGCAGTGTTTCCCGTAGTGTCCTCTTAAATAATGAAACTATGTATGAAGAACTGCCTTCTAAAAATGGCCCAACCACACCAAAGCTAATTGGATGTAATTAGGGACCCCAGTCCCTTGGTGCTGTTGGCAGCTCCACCTTTTGCGGTCATTATGGAGGTGTTAGTGTGTGGAATAATCCAGTCCAATGCTCCCATAGAACATTGGGGGTGAGTGCCCGTGTACCCAATCAAATGCTTCTCATAGGAAATAGCTTTGCTATGAGCTGTATTTAATGACCTTTAACGTCCTCAACTGCGTCTACAGGTGTGTTAATGTCATACATTGCAGTTTGATAAATCTGTTAAATTGCAAAGTTAAAACTACAGAGCCATTGCACCCAGACCAGTTAATTGAATGAAGTGCTCTGGGTGCATTTAGTGGTCCTTTAAAAATAAATAAATAATATATATAATTTAAGTATAATATTCTATTTTGAACCCATGTGCATTATTCAGCATCACATACACAAAACAAGCAAAATAAGTCACTTCGGTTTGGCTGAATCAGTGAAAATTTCAATTTGAAAAGTGGATATTTCTTATTTCACTTCAATGTAAATAAATATATATATATATATATATATATATATATATACACACAAACTGTTACCCAACAGTTGTATATGAGAGTGATCAAACATACTGAATTAAGTCAATTTCTGTACATACCCTTAAAGTCATTATTTTTAGTGGCTTACGTTTGCTTTTGTTGGGGCAGTCATCTTTAGCCTTTTTTGGTCCGCAACACATCTAATCTACCAAAATAATGCATACTGTGAAAGTTTGAAACTCCCAGACTCCATGTATGAGATGCCCAGTACTTTGGAAGGACGTAATAATTTAATACATACAGACTACCTGTATGTATTTTTTTTTGGATAAACACTGCTTCTGACCTAATAGAACCAGAGAGAGGTATCCTTAGCCAGGACTTGACTTGAAAATAAGTATTTACTCGTATGTACACCCATAGGCTCTAATGCAATCATGTCAAAGTCTAGCACGGGCCAAATAAACAAGGTTTAAGTTTGTGTGGGCCGCAAAAAAAACAAACTTAAATTTTCATAGAAACGTAGGTTTATTTTGAAAAGTACAGTATAAAAAAAAAACAGCAACCCCCTATACTAAATATCAGTCCCCCTCCCATATACTAAATCCCAGTCCCCCCTCTAATAAATCCCAGCACCCCCCTCTAGCCAAATAGCAGACTCCACTCGCATTGCCGCTGCCAGTATGCGACTCCGAAGTTCGGCCTCTGGTATACCCCAAATAGCGCCGTCCACACCCTGTGCCAAAGCGGATCCTCCTGTTACCTGTGAAGGTGGAGCACGGCAACGTTACGTCTGAATGTGGCGTTGCGTGCCTCCGTGCACCTGTAGGAACTCCACTGGCCATCGCAACATAGACTCACAGACACACACTCACTGACAGAAACCCACTCCCTGATAAACACACACTCACATCATTCCCTGGGGTCTAGTGGGGATCTTCTATCTGAAGAACTCCTTCCTGCTCCCTCGCGCGCAGTTTAGTGGTGTCGGGTGCCGGAATATGACATCATATTCTGGCACCACTACAGATGGTGCGTGAGGGAGCAGGAATACTGAGCTCCTCCAGCGACCAATCATCCTGGCCAGGAAAATTTTAGCAGAGTAGGCACCTGCAATGTGGAAAAAGCAGGTGACCACTCTGCTTTAACACCAAGCATGTATTCGCGGCTTGCCGGGCCACAAAGATGTCCATTGTGGGCCCCGAGTTTGACATGCTTGCTGTAATGTCTGAGATATATGTAGTGAAGGTTGCATTTTGTTTTGACTTATTATTTTAAACAATCCACTTTTTATGTTGACAGATGAGCTGAAAACGTTCCTTTGCAACAATGCAGTGCCGAAAAATTGCTGCAAATGCCGGTCACTTCAGAACCATTGCTCCAAAAATTGTGCCCAAGGTTGCTTCATCGACAGCGTCTTGCTCCACATCCCAGACGGATATTGCAGTATCCAGCGTCGGCACAAAGCCTCTAGTTATGCCAGCACAAAATTACACATTGATGAAAGTACCTGGACAGAATGGAACATTCTCTTTTGTTGCTGTGCCGCAGGTTAACTCAATGGGGGCACCAGTCATACAAACCACGAACACACCTCTCCAAGAAAATCTCAAATTACCAATCCCAAGGTGCCAGTCTGCAAGAAATAAGAGGTTATGTGACAAAGTGAAAAACATTAGTGGTCTCAAAAAAACGAAATCTGAGAAGCTTGCAGCCCACGTAATACATGACAACCATCCAGAAGCCATTCCTGAATTAGATGCAAGTGACCTAGAGTTGGCAAATCCCACTACCATATCCCCAGCGATGGATGTCATTCTGGAAAGCAATGTCAACACTCTAGGAGTGCTTTCCGTGAATGCATCCGACACTCTTAAAGCAAATACTTCAGCTTTATCGTTGAAGAACGATATCCCTAAAGTGTTCTGCACAAGTAGTCCCATGAAGATGAGCGCCGATTTGGAGAAAGTTGCAAGCACAGTAGAGAACGGACCAATGATAAGATGTGAAAGCACCAAAGTTGTGGATTCTGCGAACGCTGTGACCGTTCTTTCTCCGGTGATGTTTGGCGGTCCACCTTATCTGATCTCATCAGCACCTAAAGGGAAACTACCTATTATGCCTTACTCAAAAATAAAAAAATCTATAATTTCCAAGTGCAAACAGTCTGCAAATACTGAGAAGGCGACTGCTGTGAATGCAAAATCTGAAATCTGCAAAGGCCAGGCCAGTGTTAAAACATCAAATGATATTTCTTTACAGGTTACTCCTGTATCGACAACAAATATGTCCACACTTGATTCTTGCCAGTCAAGTACTAAGATGGATACTGGGGTTCTAACAAAACCAAGCTGTGTGTCCGTAAAAAAAAGAGCAAAAAAGAGGAAGACACCAAGTGAAATAATGGCTTTTCAAACAAAAATGAGACTTGTTGGAAATAAGTTAGTAGTATGCAAAGATAAAGTAAAAGATCAAGTTTTAGCTTCAAATGCCAAGATACCTGTGTGTACTAAGAAGTACAGAAGCATAATGCCGAAACCTGCTGTAGAAGTGCAGTGTCTGGCCTCCCTTGGCACATGTGACATGCAATCGCAACCAATGGATATATTTAGAAATAGATTTCAACAAATCAGGTCTAATCGATGGAAGCAAGGGGATTGTTTGAAACAAAGTCTTGATTGCAGAATTTTGTCTACAGCATCCAAGGCCTGTTTCAAATGTCATGTGTGTGATCATAATTTTCAGTTTAAGCATCACTTGCAGGACCACTTGAACACTCACACCAACAGAAGGCCGTACCACTGTCGTTTGTGTCGCAAGTCATATGTCCACTCGGGAAGCCTTAGCACACACGTGAAGCTGCACCATAGCGAAAGTCGTTTGAAGAAACTCATGTGCTGTGAGTTCTGCGCAAAAGTGTTCGGACACATAAGAGTTTATTTTGGTCACCTTAAAGAAGTACACAAAGTTATTATCAGTACAGAGACCTCTACCAAGCAACTCGAGAAAAAAGATATAACTAAAGTGAAAGACGAATTAACTCCAGAAGAAATGTGAGTCTTCGTTTCTTTTATAATTCCAGTTTAAAAATGTATACATTTATGGACAGACAAGTGGTTTATTTCACTGAACTGAAAACTATTTCAGAACCTGATATAACGACATAATTTTAGATGATTTTCATTTTTAGTTATTAAACCTTAAGACTTGCATAGTCTAAGTTTTCCTTTTATTTATTTGAACGTGAAGCTTTTTTGATATTGTTTCTCAAAGATCCCAAATGATTTTCCTGCCTCCATTTTCTACCATATCCATTTACCACCCTCTCATTTGTTTGTACTAAGCTGATATTTTCACACCACCACTATACACCGCCTTCCAGTCATCATTTTCAGTTTCACTACATTTATTATGTATTTGTTTTTTTTCCCTCCCTTTTTTAGCCATAGGCACCATATATGATCCTTGATAAAGCATGATTGAAGTGAATGTGTTTTGTTACAATTTTCTTTTAGAAATACAATGTCTTTCAGTTCTTGCTATCCCTTTGGTGTCAAGGCCTGCCTCTCCCCCATAGCCATCACATAGAACTAAAAAAAAAAAGTTTCCACTGTTTTTCATTAATATATTTTTTACTTTTATTCCTAGAGATAAAGGCAAAATTAAGGAGGATGATACCTTGTATGGATCTGCTGATGAAATCAAACTCCAAATTAAATGTGGCCGCTGTGATGTCATCAGTCCTACATTTTCAGACATGAAACTCCATTTATTTTGTGAGCATGGAGACCAGTTTCAAGAAAGACTCCAGGAAGGAATACTGGAGAGCCGTCAGGGCGCCCCAGAAGAAGTGGTTAAACATGCAACTCACTACTGGAAGTTACTCAACGAAAGGAGAAACGTTTTCAAGTGTAGCAACTGTGAACAAGAGATTTTCGGTTCTTCCAAACTGCGCAAACATGTTTGTTTATCTTATCAAGAGAACACGGAGGTTGAAAGCGATCCTGCGCCACCAAAGGAGAAATGTGATGATGAAGTTAAGGATGACCACCATGCTTCTTCAGTGTCCAACATGGATGTCCAGTTCTACTGTGGGAATTACATGAACTGTATATTGTGTAAACAGGTTTTTGAAGTAAAGGATGAACTTCTGGCTCATTGGCAACAAAATCACAACTGTGAGAACCCTTCACTGCTTTGGACTGTTTTCAATCCACTTTCCAAAGAAAAGTGAAAAAAAATAATTAAAAATAGAAAATATGAAAATAATGCACTTTTTTGGGGGTTGAAATTGAATGAGTAATTGCACTCTTGGAGGTTTGTGCAAAGTGTAATTCTGGGACAAATTTCTCAAGTGTAACATTAAGTAAGAACATTCCATTGGTGTCTATTTTGATTACTCAACTTTTAAGAAATTTTGTCCCAGAACTGTTCTTTGTGTGTGCTCTCCTTGCATCCTTTTTTTTTTTTTTTGCAGTGAATTGATTTGCTTTTTCTGAAACAAGGTTTGATTGTTGATTACTTGTGATATTTCAGTGAAATGTCAGTATTTGTATGTAGTTTTGTAATGTTTGCTTTTTTGACTGGGATTAAATAGGGTCTTTGTTGTGTGTTAAATCGATAAACCTATATACTACTGTTCCCATGGTCCTTTGATCTGTTTAGACAAATGTCACACATGCCCAATCTCTCCATTGTGGAGCTGCAGCCCATTTAACAAAAAGCGTTATTGCTCAGTCTGCACGGTCATATTTTCTTACTAACTTCAAGGAATATGTCACTTGCATTGTCTCCAACGTAAGATGCTTCCAGTATTGCAAATGTAATGAGCTATACTATTGTATTGTACAGTCTGCTACTGTTTTCTGTTCGTTTACTTTTCCACCTGGCACCCAGAGTTGTGAATGCATGTTAACTTAGGTGATGGGTTTGATCCAGCATTCCAGGCTTTAACAGATGCATGCGTCATTTGGTGGTTTTTGTGGTCCTCTGTATATGGCACAGACCTTTGCAACTTTATTTGCGAAACAGTAAGTTGTGGTGAGTTGCTGACCAGCAGAATTTAGGGTGACAGCCATGTTAAAAATAATCTGTAACTCCGCTAAGTATGATATTTACGCCAACTCAGCTGTTCTTTTTGCACCAACTTGTGTAATTTTAAAGAAAATGTTACACTTCTTGTTTAGAAGTTACACATTTTGTCAGATCTGCAGCAAATGTTTTGCACTTGAAGACAATTTTAAAAAATGTGCTCATAAGGTGGGATATAACTTAGTGCCTTTATAATTATAGCATTGGGAGGCTATTGTGCATGCATGCATGCATGGCAAAACGCCACACTGCACCAATCGGCATCTCCTCATAGAGCTGCATTAAATCAGTCATCTCTATGGGAAATGTTTAACATCTCCATGCAAAGCATGAAGACGCTGAACACAATGCAGCACTAAAATAGGAAGCGCCTTTAGTGACCATCTGAGTGACTGCACCTAGATGTGTTACTAGGCAGTAATGCAAACACACTGCCTTTTCTCTGAAAAGGCAGTGTTTACATTAAAAAGCCTGCAGGTACAAGCGATACACTAAAGCCACTACATTAAGCTGTAGTGGTTCTGGTGACTATAGTGTCCCTTTATCCTTGAATGATGAAGCATTGTGTGAAATTAAATCTATGAAAGTCTACTGTGCCAGTATTAGGCATGATTGCATGTAGACTATAAATATTTGCCAAACAAGTATAAATAATATCTTGTGACTTATTATTACAATACTGTGTATTTATTTTACCTTTTCCCAAAATAGTATGAGAATATAAAAACTGGCCCCTGTATAATTTACTTTCTATCCATCTGATTAATGTGTATTATGTTTGGAGGGGGGGGGGGGAGGATTTTCCTTCCTCACAACTTATGGGCAAAAAAAATACTTATTACACTTGATGTAAGTGCTGTGGGAGACAAATGCGATGGGAGGGTTTTTTTTTTGTCATCATGTAATCTCTGCAAAGCAACTAATTTTTTTTCCTGACTTTGGCTGATATTATTTAAGCAATTTGTTGCAAGATGATACCTCATTTGTAGAGCAGTGGAAATTACGGAAAGTTTAAATATCTTGATTAATTTCATACAGTATAAGAGCAGTCAAGTGAGTCACTGTCAGTACTTTAAAAAAAAAAATGTTTAGCATATATATATTTTGCAAAAATGTTTTTCAGAATGCTGCACCATAAGCCTGCCTCTTTAGCCACACCCCCTCACTATAGAAAAAGACTTCCTTATCAAGCGTACACACACAGCTCAGCCACACTGACTGCATTAGGTGCTCTGAACGACAAGACACCTTTCATTAGAAGGAGAGGACACCCACTGATAGTGACCTCTTTAATATAAATATGTCTCTTATCTGTTAATAGTTTCTCTGACTGTCTTGAGCCATGTTGTGAATTAAAGACAACTCACTTAGTGCTGTTGTGGCTAAGACCGCATACATTTGATAAGGTAGTCTTACAGGCATGAGGGGGCATGGCTAAGGAGGCATGCTTATGGTATACCATGCTACAAAATAAATATATATATATATATATTTTTTTTTTTTTTTTGTTCAAAAACTAAAGATTTGATTGTGCAAAAATATAACCGCATATTCATGATGCTGAAATGCATGAAAGTTGTATTGGTGCCTGGAGTGTCCTTTTTAAAGTATTATACATTCAAGAAGAACTCAAGTTAAAATATTGTAGTTTGATGCTTTTCAGGCCTCACAGTGCACTATATCCAAAGATCTGTAAATCAAAAAAAGTTATCCATGTGTGAACCTGTCTTGTGGGTAACAAAAAGGGGGTGGAGGGGAATTCCTTGTTAAAATGGTGTAGTAATGATCAGCTGTCTCTGGAAAGGCACAAACATGGCATTTCATGTAAATGACCTTTTCCACAATGCTGTGGTACATTGGATTTGTCAATACAAATGCAAAGAAACAAGTCCTGCGCTCAAACTCCCATTACTCCTGGGCGGCAGCAACGACCATAGTACACATCAGCCCAAATACACATAGTAAAAACCAAAGAAAAACCCTCTCATGGCTATTGGAGGTAACTAAGAACCTCCATTTGTTTAAAAATACATAGGGATGTGGAAAGAGCACAGGTAACTTTTTTTTTTTCCATTGGATTTGTCAGTTCATAGGTTTTATAAGTTGGCTTATGTTTTGTGCCGAATTTCATCAAATATCTGAAAGATGACCTTACGAAGTACTCTTAAAATGAAAATGGAATCATTGTTGGCACATTTGTAAGAACACATGCCAAGACTTATTGCAGGTAACATTCCGATGGATTCTTATCCACAGTTGAGAATTGACACATTGCTTGCTCAACTATAATGGGCTTTTCTACCATGTTTTATATTTTTATAGAGAGCCATGTGGGGAAAATTCAGTAACACAAGTAACTGCTACTTTAATGTTCTTCCATTTAGCATGCCGTTAGCCTAAACATGTCAGATCCTATTAAAAGATGCTAACTTGCTCACCCTTGATTTAGTAATACAAATATATTCATAATGGTCGCTTGAAGTCATAACATGTTTGCTTAATCTTGTTTTTGGAACTAGCCAAAGTGATTGATAGTGGTAAAGTGGTTTAATAATTACCGGAATATTTTTTTTTTTTTTTTTTTTGCATGCCACTATAGAGCAAAATGATCATGCAATTAAACCTTGTTTCCTATTCCAGATTTACATATGGTAGCACGTGCCATTTACATAATTGATCCCTCTGTGAGCCACGCTGTTTTGTTTTAAGGTCGAGCTGACTAGCCATTATGAATAATACATACGTGGTCCTATAACATGCTCGTTCAAACGGGACAGCGTATGGAATGAAAGCAAAACTCTTTGTAGTGAAAACAAAAATAATTTCTATGTCTGGTTGAGCTTTCAATATCATTAAATACACGTATGTGTTGTTTATATTGGTTTTGTTGTGCTCTGTAATCGAGATGTGCTGAATTTGCGGGTGCACAGGAGGCATTCCTTTGTATCCATTTCTCATATGCTATTCCAAGATGCTGTGTGCGTGTGTTTTCTTTTTACAAATACTTTTTGTTTTGTTTTAAAAAAAAAAAAGCCCTTTTCAAGATTCCTCATAACATTTCTATATTGTAACGTTCCCTCTTTTAGTCCCCTTTTCATCCCCCACCGAGATATCACTTCCACTTAAGTAGAAGGCAGCCATAACACTGACTTCTCCCAACCGTGTTAGTCTGAGTGGCATTATAACGCTGTTTCTCTAGAGAGCCAGCTGCCACAATTACTAATTCCTGCCCATGTCCAGCAAATTCCAGTGGCACAGTAGTTTTATTTTTGTATTTTTTTTTTTTAACATGTGTAACTTGCCAATTACTAAATTCTATAGTAGTTTGCACACTGAGCCTCTCTGTATGGGTGACACTGTTGCTATAATAAAGCAAATTTCTAAACTGTGATTTACGTTCCCGACTGGGATTGGAATTGCTGGAAATCATTGTCTCAAATGACACTAGTGAAAGAGATCTGTACAGTACTTTCTTCATCTCTTTACCTTCCACCTCAATGGCAGTTACATGACCAAGTTACGCTTTAAATCGTACTTTTGACTATAAGCTCTGCACTGTTGCTTCTAGCATCAGTATTTGCAATATTTGACTCTAGCACTTTTCAAAATTCCCTGCAGTGTTCCTTATTCTTGGTTTCGTCCTTGCTTTGAAAGAGCAATCTGAATACTAGATTAACAGATCCATGCAACAAAATGTTGAGACGACCAACCATGTTTCCTCGTTAGTTACCTTTTGTAATTCTTATTTTTAGCTTTTTGTAAGATAGGGGTGCTTTACTTTTTGTTTGAAGACTTTGTGCCTTATTGTACGTGATCTTAAATCATATTGTCTGCTTGATTGTAGGCATTCTTAACCGATTCTGCTAATCTAGGCGCCATATACATTTACAGTTAATAAAAACTACTTGGTGAGTTTTTCAATAAACCTGACCTTGTGGCAATTGGAAGGATAATAGAAAATTCTAGGTCAACGTAACTCAAATTGAAAAATTATCCAATTTGACTTCTCTACAAGGTCTGGTAGTGTCACCTAAATTCCTTCTCTTTTTTTTTTTTTTTAAGATTTACAACAGCTTGCAATTTTAATTAATAAAACCCAGATAAATGCATTAAAACCCAGCCCAATTTTTTTTTTCTTGGTGCTTTTTATTAAAAATATGATGGGGCTTAAAATTTAAAGTCCTACGCCCCTACCCCATTGGGTCAGTGTTACACTTGCAAAGGGGGAATATCTAAGCGCCAGAGCTAAATCTTTCTTAAACTTTGCTGGAAATTTGAGCCTATAAAAATATATATTTGAGTATATATATTTTTTTCTTTTTAAACAACATCTTTATTGTTTCACTAAAAAATATAATCAATGTAATTTGTAAATTATTACATATGTTAATATATTTTCACAAATCGGCAAACTGTCATTTTGTTGCTTTCTAGATTTGCAGCCATTTAAAATGGAAGTGGCACAGATGTGTAATCACCCATTAAGCCTGTCAATTTGATAGCGTTGCACAATAAAGATATTTTGATTTGTTTCTCTGTACAAGAACTCTGTCTTAATAAGCTAAAACTATTACTCTGGCAAAGGCATATTTGTGCTTTTGTTTAATTTTTTTTATTGTATTGTTTTTTGAGTGTAGCCAAATATGTATGTCATGTGTTATTGATTTTGGTATTCATGTTGTAAAATATAAAAGATTGTAAAAGACTTGCTTAATAAAATAAAAAAATCATTTTGTTTTAATCTCATTTGTTAGCAATTTATTCGACCCCAATGACTGTTAAGGGATGACCTTACAATACCCCATTTTTACGTATTTTTTTCCTCTAATTATTCATTTTGATCAATGATGCTCAAATAATGTAAACGTTCTAGCAAGTAATGAGACTTTGGATCAGTACAGAAATGCTCATTTACATCAAACACAGTGGGTATTCGATACATTCATCATCTATTATCAGACTTTTAAGAAAATGTTACCTTTTTTTCTTTCTGTATGTCTCTAAAAAAACAAAAACAAAAAATGATCTGATTTGAGATTCTGTGTAATTGTAGTATATTGTCCCAGGGTTTCCAAATTAGCCCTTTTGTATAGGTGGGTTGGTGCAATTTGCTACCACTCCGTGTTCTAATTATAATTTTGAGTCCCAAAACAAGTGTCACATTTTAAAATCCAAATAAAAGTGCAAATTTTTTCTTTTTTTCCCAGTTGATTTAAAAAAATCAAAAAGCACCCATGATTCTACAGTTTTTGAAGAAATAAGTTCAGTAGCAGTGCTTAAAGCCTTGCTGTATAAGTCAGAAATGTTCACTTCCACCTTGATCTCTTGGGTCAAATATACAACAAAGTAGGGAGAGAAGGGAAGTACTATCTAATCATACATAATGGAATCAAGGTCCACAGTAGGAGCATTTACCAATATTTGACTGTTAGAAGACCTCTGGGTCCACCGATGCAACATTAACAATAAATCCTTAATTCAGAAAACACAGAAAGTGGGTCAGCCAAAAGACTGACCTGGCAACGGTTTCAATTGTGAAGTCAATCTTCTGGCTGAATAAATCCCACTTTTGTCACTTTCTGAACTGCAAATTTTTTTTAATATTGTAACATTCTAACCTGGACTCAGTGGTTCTCTTGTGTTTTGCAGTATGCAGTGATCATAGCTATCATTCTGAGATTAACTATAGCAGGGAATTCTGAATTGAATTATTGCATATTATTAAAATGGGTTGGCGTAACCCTTTAATTTGTTTCAGTTGCATTTTTTAATATTGCAAATGATGTTTAAAATTGGAAGTTTTTTCACTGTGAAATACTGAATTCATTTTCCTGAGTTTGCATCACCTGTAGCTTTATATAATTACCTTTTCATAAATATATGTTCTTAATTGAGACTGGATAACGGCATGATTCTCAAGGTAAGTGTCTGTTAAACTCTTAACTACAGAGAAATTTTGATTGAAAAAGATATTAGCATAGCCTGTTTTAAAACCAGGGTTGCATAGCTAGCAAACATGCACCCGTTTTGTGTATAGATTGCTTTGCAGACAAATATAAAATGAATATTATGTACACAATTTTAGTTTTTCACTTATTCAACCAAAAATATTTAGAAAACGAAAAGCCTTAGACATTATGCAGGGTCCTTTATCTTGCAGTATTTCACAAAGGGTCTGAAATATTAATGGAAAAGCAAAATGCAGTAAATGTGCAATAACAGGTAAATTAAATATGGTGAAATGCCTTTTAGATACCGGTATTTGTCAGGACTCTAAATGCATCACTAGCAGTATAGCTTACTGAAAATGGCAATAGAATGTAAAAAAAAGTGTCTATATTTGAATTTAGTGCACTCACACAGTAACTACAGTTGAATCATAGATTTTTAAAGGAAAGTTTTTTTTTGTTTGTTTTATTTTATAGCAATCTGTATCACTCTGGAATGCTAATGTAAGGTGACCGTTAAGTGGAAGAAAAAGGAAATACATGGGCAAAACCATGCATTCTAAGGATAAATCTTTAATGTTGAAATACACCACTCATGCAATGCTATGTTTTTAAGTAACCTGAATCATGCATTCAGACATTACAAATCAAGTGCAGATTTGTAATGTCTGTATGCGTAAGTAAGGCGAAATGTTGCGTTGCACTAGTGGTGTATTTCCTCAAAGATGTATTCATTGTAGGCATATTGTGTTGTCCAGCTATTTACTTATTTTTTATTTATTTTTTGTTGTATGTTAGGATACAGTGCAGGATATGGAGTTTGGAGCACTGGTAGACCAGAGGTGGCTGTGTCTGGGTCGCCGTAGAGTCCATTCATTGCTCATCCCACCCATTGTAACGTAAATGACTCAATGGCTTCTGGCAGAGAATTGTGCTCCTCTACTGTCTGGTAATCATTCCTAGAACATAAAAGGGGGGTGAGTGAGGTTTTATACTGCAAAATAGGTGAAAATAAAAATGTTTATACCTGTACAATTCCTGAACAATTTTTGCCGTGTGACACTGCCATCAGGGAACACTATTGCCATGGAGAGGTGTACATGGTCTGCAGCAATCTGTAGGTAGCTGGTTCATCTCAAAGTAACATCCACATGAGTGCCAGGACCCAAGATTTCACAGTAGAACATTGCCCAGAGCATTGCACTGGCTCTGCCGGCCTGCCTTCTTCTCATAGTGTATCTTACTGCCATCTCTTCCACAGGTAAACAATGCACACTCACTCGACCATCAACCTGATCTAAAAGCCAACGGGCTTCATCAGACCAGGCTCCATGTCCAGTTCTGATGCTCATGTCCCCATTGACGCTTTCCGTAGTGGACAGGGGTCACCATGCACAGCAAACTGTGATGCAATGTGTGTTCTGACACCTTTCTATTATGTCTGGCACTTAGTTTTCAGCTATTTGAGCTACGGTAGCTGTTCTGTGTGATTTGCATCAATGGGCCATGGGCGCTCAAGAGCCTGATGCCGGTTCACTGGTTGTCCTTCCTTCCAACACTTTTGGTAGGTACTAACTACTGCATACCGGTAACACCCCACAAAACTTGCCATTTTGGAGATGCTATGACAGTCGTCTAGACATCACTATTTTCCCCTTGTCAAAGTCACTAAGATCTTTTCACTTGCCCTTTTTTTTCTGCTTCCAACACATGAAATTCAAGAACTGACTGTTCACTTGCTGCCTAATATGTCTCACCATTGAACGATATAATCAATCTCATTCACTTCACCTATCAATGGTTTTAATGATATTGTTAATCAGTGTGTGTGTGTATATGTATATATATACACACAGATGATACTCGAAAAATTAGAATATCGTGCAGAAGTTCATTTATTTCAGTAATGCAACGTAAAAGTGGAAACTAATATATGAGACGCCTTACATGCAAAGCAAGATAGTTCAAGTCGTGGTTTGTCATAAGTGCGATGATTATGGCTTACAGCTCATGAAAACCCCAAATCTACAATCTCAGTAAATTAGAATATTACATGCAATCAATAAAACAAGGAGTGTACATAGAACAATATCGGACCTCTGAAAAGTAAAAGCATGCATATGGACTCAGTACTTGGTTTGGGCCCCTTTTGCAGCAATTACTGCCTCAATGCGGCGTGGCATGGAAGCTATCAGGCTGTGGCACTGCTGAGGTGTTATGGAAGACCAGGATGCTTCGATAGCGGCCTTCAGCTCTTCTGCATTGTTCGGTCTCATGTCTCTCATCTCTTGGCAATGCCCCATAGATTCTCTATGGGGTTCAGGTCAGGCAAGTTTGCTGGCCAATCAAGCACAGTAATCCCACGGTCATTGAACCATGCTTTGGTGCTTTTGGCAGTGTGGGCAGGTGCCAAGTCCTGCTGGAAAATGAAGTCAGCATCCCCATAAAGCTCGTCTGTGGAAGGAAGCATGAAGTGCTCCAAAATCTCCTGGTAGATGGCTGCGTTGACCCTGGACTTAATGAAGCACAGTGGACCAACACCAGCAGATGACGGCTCCCCAAATCAACACAGACTGTGGAAACTGCACACTGGACTTCAATCATCTTGCAGTGTGTGCCTCTCCATTCTTCCTCCAGACTCTGGGTCCTTGGTTTCCAAATGAGATGCAAAATTTGCTCTCATCAGAAAAGAGGACTTTGGACCACTGAGCAACAGACCAGGTCTGTTTTTCTTTAGCCCAGGTAAGACGCTTCTGACGTTTGTTGTTCAGGAGCGGCTTGACAAGAGGAATATGACATCTGAAGCCCATGTCCAGGATCCGTCTGTGTGGTGGCTCTTGATGCACTGACTCCAGCCTCAGTCCACTCATTGTGAAAGTCCCCAACACTTTTGAATGGCCCTTTCCTGACAATCCTCTCCAGGCTGCGGTCATCCCTGCTGCTTGAGCACCCTTTTCTTCCACACTTTTCCCTTCCACATAACTTTCTATTTATGTGCTTTGATACAGCACTCCTTATGGGGGGTGTCAATGATGGTTTTCTGCACAACTGTCAGGTCAGCAGTCTTCCCCATGATTGTGATTCCTACTGAACCAGACTGAGAGACAGTGGTGTATCCTGGTTTTGTGCTGCCCTAGGCAGGACAAAACTCAGGCACCCCCCCGCGCCACCCCCACCCGCGCAACCGCCACCCAACCTTCCCCCACCTTCTAAATACACACACACACACATTCACTGACAGATACGCATTCACTAGCTAACAGAAACACACACTCACTAACAGACACACACTCACACACACACTCACTAACAGACACACACACTCACAGGCAAACACACACACACACACACTAACAGGCAAACACACACACTAACAGACATCCACACTAACAGACATCCACACTAACAGACACACACACACTAACATACATACACTAACATTAACATACACACTAACACTAACAGACACACACTAACACTAACATACACACACTAACACTAACATACACACTAACACTAACATACACACACTAACATACACACACTAACAGACACACACACTAACAGACATCCACACTAACAGAAATCCACACTAACAGACACACACACACACTAACATACATACACTAACATTAACATACACACTAACACTAACAGACACACACACTAACACTAACATACACACACTAACATACACACACACTAACATACACACACACACTAACATACACACACTAACAGACACA